TTTTTCAACTTAAAATAAAGCAAACAGTACATGTGGAGTGATAACACCAACAAAACACAATTCATATGATTCAATCAAACACTTCTATGACTTTAGCATGATGAAAATCCGGCCATCTTAAGTATTCCAAATAAAAGGATGCATTTCATGAAATCCTCAAGAAACAAAACTTATCTTCTCTCCCTCTTTTTTTATAAGCCACCGATTTTTTCATATAAAATCAAACTGAAGAAGCATCATGAGAATTAAAAATGAGGAGAAAAGAGAGGGGAATAAGTTACCTCTCGACGCAAATCCAAAGTAAATGCAAGAATAGACCCAGAAAAACTTCTACAACACCTTCTATCAAAGCTTCAACCTAAAATACCAATGGCCAAGCAAGCAACCAGACAACCAGGCAACCAGCAACCAAGCAAAGGTATCGAGTGAACCAGCAAGAAACCGAACAAGCCACAAAAATCCAGCAGCACTTCCAAAAAGGCTCAAGCACACGAGATGAACAAATCAAAGAAGATTTTAAGAGAAGAAATTTTGGCAGCACTTCCCCTTTTTCTCAATCTTCGGCCAGCCCTAAACGTGAGGAGGTGACGCCGAGGATCGCAGAGGCATGGGAGCAGGTTGAAGGCTTTCGCAGGGCAGCAGGCGTACGAGAAGGGGGGCCGCAAGAGATTCGCGCCTCTGTCGGCTCGGCTAGGGTTCGCGGTCGGAGACGAAGAAAACTCGGGCCGGCCTCGCGAACGCGAGGGAAGGCTCGGGCGTGCGGTTTTGCGGACGTGAAGGGAGGATTTAGGGATTTTGGGCTTTAGGGAAAGAAACAATTTGGTTTATATCAATTTAATATATATATATATTAAATAATACGTGATTTGTTCACGCGCAGCAACGTAACAAAATGGGTGTCCTCCCTAGGCAAAATCGACATTCTGGACGTGTCGGTGCAATCTGTTTTGCCGTCAGAGGTCATTTTGACGAATTCACCGATTTGCATGTCAATTTTCTCGTGTCGAGAGTATGACAATATGGGTGTCATTTCCTACCAA